GTATAAACTACACAGGTATTATGAAATGTAAATAAGCCTTTACAGTTTTTCATGTATTCAAATAGTCTTAAATTAATTTTTAAATTAGTGACTCATTCAAATGATGCCCTAAAAATATTAAGGGCCATAGAAACAAATCCACAATATAATGGACAGTGTTACATATATGCACTTGTGTATTTGTGTTTGGAGTTTGCATGTAAGTCCTAGTTAGCAATTTATTCATTTAGATATAATTGATGGAAACATAGGCAACAATGTAATCTGGAATAATTTATCTCCAGGAACTGGAATTAGAGCTAGAAACTCTATGTGAAAGTGCATCTGTGTACTTGTTAGTGTGCATATACCTAAGCTGCAGTCATTGCATTTTACTATTACTGTTAGAAAAAATGTAAAACGATTGTGAAAATGAAGAAATAATATGCCAAATGCTGTGTGCAAATAGAAGACATAAGCTCTTTTTTTCATTTTTCAATTACATAAACTAAAGGTACATTTTTAATATAGAGATAAGTTTTATCTAGCATAATATATATTTGACCAAGATTCTATTATTAAGAAGGATTCAGAGGCCACATCAGGAAGGAATTTGACTGAGTACCAGTTTGTACAATGGAAGGGCAGGGTTTTAGCACTTGTGCAGTATAGGTTTGCCTCTGTTAAATCAGGATGGTTATTTTTTGTACCTCCAGACATTATTGTGTAACACTAACAATATGGCTTGTTGTCCTATGTGAACAGAGATTTAGAATTATATTTAGAAGCTCACAGTGATCTTAATATTGCATCTTGAAAAAGTAACCCAAGTGAAAAAAAACATTCCTGGAGGAGAAACAAAACGCATTCATCAAGGCAGCTGGTTCTGCAGTAGATTCATTGAAAGGCAGGGGCAGACAATGCAGTTTACAGGAGTGAACAAGTAGGAGATGTGAAAGGCAGCTGGATATGGTGGGGGTGGTGGGCGGGGTGAGGGTGGTCTGTGGCTGATGAGAGTGAAAATGGAGTGGGTTGCCAGGATGGATGTATCTTGCAGTAAGAGAAAAAAAAAAAAAAGAATTAGTTTTTCACTATAAGTATTTGACCACTTGGAAGATGCAAGTATTTCAATAATGGCATCATAGTTATTTAATGCATAAAACTAAAACCCACCATTGTGAGATTTCAAACAAATTTGTAATCAGGCTGATGGACAGACCCAAGATCATTCAGAACCATGCCAGTTGCTGTGAGGCTTAGAGCCAGATCCCTTGTGTGGAATTGCTGTGTAGTTACCTTACCTTTTGCTTTCAGACCCGCCGTGCACTCCTCTCCCACCTGCTGACTTTGGGGAAGGTGACACAGGTGCTGGAAAGCAAGATACCCTTCTCTGTTATCAGATCAGTACAGGCATAGGCAAAAGATGCTGGCATGTTAGGACACTGAATTTAGAATAGGAAAAGATAGTGGCTCATCATGGATTTGTAAAAAGCTCCCTAGGCAGCCATACTTTAATTCTCTGGAGTTCTACTATCACCTGCAATTTAGAATAAAACCCGAATCTTATAAAACTACAGCATGTACACAGTCTGCTGCATATTATCATTCATTACCTTACTGGATCATACATTTTTATGTTTTTTCCAATCATTATTTTGTTCTCATATTTTATGCATCAATTTTCAATTCTAAAACATTCTGGAATAGGTAATTGATAAAAATTGATTCATAACAGTGTTTAAAACATAAATTGAATTCTCACAATGAACATAGTATTGTAGTATTTCTGGGCATATAGAAGACAGTAGGAGATATATTGTTCTTTGAAGGAATATGATGAGTCCTTTGATGACATTGAGTAAGATCTAGGGAATGGATTTTGCTTCTAATTTGTTTTTTCGTGATCTTCTACCAATTTTCATATTGAAACATTTATTTATGCATTTTGATCTTAGAATCCTATTTTTTTTCTTTTATATACTATCATTGATTACACTGTCTTTTTGTTGTTATTTGTTTTTTTCTTTATTTTAAGATAGTCGCACTTTCTTGCCCTTGGTAGAGTGCTGTGGTGTCAGAACTCACAATAATCTCAAATTCTTTTTTTTTTTTTTTTTGAGACAGAGTCTTACTATGTCACCCTTGGTAGAGTGCTATGGCATCACAGCTCACAGCAATCTCAAACTCTTGGGCTTAAGCAATTCTCTTGCCTTACCCTCCCAAGTAGCTGGGACTACAAGTGCCCACCACAACCTCCAGCTATTTTTTTATTATCATTGTCATTGTTGTTTAGCTATCCAGGGCAGGGTTCAAGCCTACCAGGCTTTGTGCATGTGGCTGGTGTCGTAACCACTGTGCTATGGGCACTGAGCCAACAACCTCAATTCTGGGGCTCAAAAAATTCTCCTACCTTAGCCTCCCAAGTAGCTGGTACCATAGGCACTTGCCACATGTCTGGCTATTTTTTATGTTAGAGATGGGGTCTTGCTCTTGCTCAGGCTGGTTTCGAACTCTTGAGCTTAAGCAATCCACCCACCTGATCTTGCCATAGTGCTAGGTTTACAGGTTTGAGCCACCAGGCTTGGCCTGGTTGCACTGTATTTAATTGTATTTGTTATAATTGCTTTAATTTCATTTTTTTATTAGCATATATAAAAGATGGTAAAAGTTTACTACAAAATTTTAGACATACATTTACATACACAGATTAAGGTTGTATGTAATATTATGTATGATCCTTTATAATTTGTAATAATTTTGAATTGATCATATTATATTTACTTAACACATATGTATTAAAAACTTGCTATGACTCAGAACCATGGCAGGTGATTGGAATTCATCAGCATAAGACAAGATTAGTCTATTTTTGCTTTATCCTTTAAGAGTTTCCTTTCTAGGAGAGGGGAGATAGGAGATAAGCCTCAGACATATAAAATGACCTTTTTATAGTATAACAAGTATGATGGGTACTCACTATACTGGCGTCTAAAATAAATATCTAACAGAAGTCTGAGTCAACAGAGAAGGCATGGAGCTGTGCTGCATCACCCACCCCATGGCATGAGGGAATTTTTTATGTGGTTCTGATATTTGTTTGCTTTCTACAAAATGCGTCAGTTATAAGAGGAATGAAGGTAGAGCTATTAAAATGGGAAAGATACCTTATTTTAAAACAGTTATTTTCCCTTTTCGAAATTGCACTTTTTTCATTTGCTCATTCAACAAAAAATCAGTTTATCTCTTCAGGAAATATGCTAGTAAGTCAATACACGGTAGAAGAAAATGCATAAACGCATTCTAGGTCTTAATGAAATTTTCAGCTTAAATTACTTTGATCTAGGCTATGAAAGTTCAATATTCACTAGATATGTAGGAATATATTGGAATTTATTACACATAAAAAATGAAATTTCTGTAGTTCTTACAAATTAAGAATAAATAATAAAATTATATAATAATACATATATATAATAAAATTTAGGTAAATACATTTTTTCTTTTTTTGAGGATATTAATTTGGCTCTTCTTTTTCAGATTATTTAAATAATCTATCTTGTTATGTTTTATGGCCTAAAAATTAATTGTCCACATGTATTTTTCTATTGCTACAAAGATTTACTAACAATGGTCCTTCTTCACTGTGTTCATTTCTTAATTCTCATTTTCATCTGAAATATGTGAAATAATGTTAGCAGAATATTGAGATTTTTAGAGTTGCCAAAATGCTTATTGACTAACCTGTTATAAGTTTGAGTAAGCAAAGTAAATAAGCAAAGAGCACTTGTTACTTATAAGTGATACAGGACAAAGTCAAGGTCACATTCATGAAGTGGACAGGAGTCAATATGGTCTGATAGTCTCCCAAGGAAGTGCATGTGAAGTACATACTAATTAGCTTATAAATCAGACTGCTACTCAAGTTTATTTGGGTGAGAAAGACTACCTACTGTCAAGCAATCAAGTTCAACCCCTTTAATTGCAATTTATTCCAACAACCACAATTTATTGATCCTAGCATACACTTAAGCCACAGCAGTATCGTTATTTGACTTTATTTTAACAGCTTCAAAAGGTTAGAAACTTAGAAATCACTGTGAAAGAAGCCATTAAAAAGTTGAGCTGCTAACATTGCTTTATACTCTATGCTGAGCAATGTTAGCCATATGTGTATACATGTGGAATTATATCAGAGGAGACAGAAAAAAGAAGTGATATTAGTCATGTTACAGTGTGACCTAGTACTTTGCTATGTTATTTAATGTTTGCAACACAAAAAAGCAAAGAGAATTGATTTTATTATTTGAATTCTACAGATAAACATTAACTTAGAGAAGTGATGTATATTTCTGAGATATATGGTGTTAAAGTGTAAAAATCATCTATCCAACTCCAAAGCACATGTTTAACTTGTCACATGATTTCATGCATAATTTTTTCACATTGTTTTGTAATATTGTGTCCATCCTGAAACATAGTGAATTTTGCACAGGATGTGATCTGTAGAATACAAAACATCAATGTATAATCTCTCTCATTTGTTCAAATTGTTACCTTTTGTAAGGCAAGGCAAGGTTTTTTTTTTTCTTTATTGGAGCACTAGAGTTGTAGAATTTCACTCTGTAACTCTCAGCTAATTAGACAGTGCACTCAGTATATTTGTGTAGCTTCAAAGAAAGTTTTCTTTGGGAAATATTTAGTGCATATAAAGAGTAGCTTAGAGTTTGGCATTTCTTATCCATACTTTCTAGCAGGTCTGAATAGCTGATTAGATATCACAGTTCTTCTTGAATCTCTGTCACCCCTTAACTAGATTTAAGCCAAATTTAGGCTGCCTTGAGGTAAGACACCAAAATGGTGAGGCCCTAGGCTTCCTCTTCGTACCAATCAAAACAGCTCTGCTCTTAATGCTTTCACTTTTTGTACTTCCATAAAATTTTATGCACAGAAAAAATAAATAAGCCAATATTTTAAAAATTAATTTAAATCATGGAACTAGTCCAATGTCCTCATTTTTGCAGGTGAAGAAATGAAGAATCAAAGAAGCAAAGGACCTGTCTCAAAGTCACACGACTAGTAAGTAAAATCTGCAGATGTAGAAAAAGGTCATCAGACTGATCTGAGTTCTATTGATTGCATAACAGCTTTTCATTTTAAATATAATGCTGAAAATGTAAGACTCTGCACCCATTTCTATTTGCCCCACATATGGTCAGTGACACTAATGGTGTGCCACTCAGGTTCACGCTTACTATATACTTTAGAGAATTCTCACATAGTTACACGATGTCCTTTTTTAAGAAGAGCCAGTGTGGTTCATGAGATGGTGTAGCAAAAGAAAAATGTTGGCATCCATTAGAGCACTTTACATGTCCTAGGTTTTTAATGTCTGGTTAACCCTTACAAAAATATTATAAGAGAAACAGTTTTATCCCTATTTTGGAAATAAGGAAAGGCTCTAAGAGGGTTGATAGTTTGTTTCGGTCTGCAGAGCTATTTAATTTCAGAGGTAGGTTTCAAGTCTCAGACTTGGTAACTTGAAGATACTCACATTTGGTTTCATACATTTCTGTATTAAACTTTCAAATAAAAAGGCAAAGATCAATAAAAATAGTATATAATGTAGCTGGGCGTGGTGGTGGGCACCTGTAGGCCCAGCTATTTGGGAGGCTGCGGCAAGGGAAATACCTAAGCCCAGGAGTTGAAGGTTGCTGTGAGCTGTGATGCCACAGCACTCTACTGAGGGCAATAAAGTGAGACTCTGTCTCTAAAAAAAAAAGAAAAAAAATAGTATAGAATCCCATTAAGATGTGATATAAGTGGTGTGTGATATTAATACTGCACCGTTAAAGGTACTAAGAGAAAGCTAAGTACTGAAAGATCAACTTGAATTGACACTGTGTTTGCCTTCATGACTGATATGTTCTTGCTACTGACTCTCAACTAATAATTCTTTGAAACCTTGTTACTGTGAAGACATTAGATGTAATGATAGCTGTAAAGGAGGGGAAACAATGTTGACAATACATGTACATAACCATATCACAGGTAGAGATTGACAGCTTGTCAAGAAAAATAGAATGAGCATTTAGAAGAGAAAAACATTAAAAATAATTGGCATTTTGAGCTGGATGATATATATATAATAGGGATTAGATAAAATCATTTTCTTTTAATAGGAAAGTATAAACAGAGGATGGGAGTGAAAATGAGTAGGGATATTTCGTCAATACAGAATGTGTTAAATTATAGACTGTTTTAAGAGTAAGTTGCTAGTTTAAAAGGTCAGACTGGGATTAATCAATGGAAGTCTTTGAAGTTTGATTTTAAAACTTAGATTTTACTTTATAAGCAATGAAGAATAGTTGAAGGTGTTGATGTTTTGTTATTGTTACTTATTTGTTGTTCTAATCTGTACAGTGCTATAACCAGAGTTCTGGCTTGGAAAAAAGCTGATAGCTATGTGATGGTGGAAGAAATGAAAAGTTAGGGAACTAAGTGTAGTGGGAAGGTAAAAAAAATAGAGACCAACCCTTCCTGTTAGTCTGTTAAAGATAATGGGACATCTCTCCTCTGAAGAAACTGGGATCTCTCAGGCTTGTAGTAACTCTGAAGAGGCTCCAATATCCATTTTCATTCCAAGTGCCCTTTTCCTCATAAATATTTGTTGAATAATAAGTAAATTTCCTTTCTATCTTATACACCCACCTTGAAAATCCCTGTCACAAAAAGGAAAGAACAGACAACATGGTAGCTTTTTATTAGCCTCTAATCTTTCAGAGTGAGAACTTTTTTCTTGCTCTTTGAAAATCCCTGTTTATCTAAAATATCTACTGCAGATAAAGGGAATGAAAAGCAAGGGATGCTTATTTTTCTCCTGAAGAAATAAGAAGATGTGCTATAACAAAGGGACAGTTATACCAAAAAAAAAAAAGAAAGAAAAGAAAAAGCTTTATGCATATCAAGAATTGTTCATCTTCTAAAAGCTCGACCTCTTGGTTTGGTTGTAACACTAGAGAGAAAAGAAGGGCCCTGAAAATGTTCTGTCCTAATGTTAGGTGACCAATTCTGGATAACTTCTGTCCCTAATGAAAATCCTTTCTAAATCCTCAGCACTCTCTTGGTTGTACAGCCCTTCTTCCAGGACTTATAGTCAATTCCTTAACAAAGCTGCTTAATATCACATCAATAATCTGCTCCCTCTTACCTATGTCTTACAAGAAATGGCAACTAGATCACAAACAATTTGTTCTTGCTCAGTTAATCTCACATGAATCTTTACTCGGTGTTCTTTTTTTTTTTTTTTTTTTTTTTTTT